GCTTTCAACTTTTTAGCTTAGAAAAATATTTCACACTCAAAACAAAAAATCTAAAAAAAAAACGCTTTTGCTGCATGTTAACGCTTCTGTTTAAGTTTAGTTTAAAAAATAATATTTTAAATACACGAAGAAAAATCGATATTCAAAAGCACATCTATTGAGATGTAACACCAAACAAATATTGTTTAATAGTAAAAACAAATTGGTAAAAAACTATGCTACAATAAAATGATAATTAACCACACCCAGCGGCGTTGAAAAAATTACTTTTCACATAAAATAAAAAACAAATAAAAAATTCTAGCAAAGAAAATTAACAACAAATGCCTGCTTAATTTTTTAAATAATATACTTTTAAGTTGCAAAGAAGCCTCATTATTTGACCTTATATTAATTTTGAAAACAAATTTCTTTTTCCTTCTCTCTCTCTCTCGCGCGCGCGCGCTTGCTACTCTCTTTCTTTCACACACGCTTTCGTTATTTGTGTGTGTGCCTGCGCATGCGCTCTTTCAACAGAAATCGGCTGCTCCTCGAGCGACGAATGCCCCACGCAACGCGCTTGCGTCAATGGCGTTTGCCTGGATCCATGCTCGTACTCGAATCTATGTGGACGTGATCAAGGATGTCAGGTGGTTGAACATCAACCGGTCTGTTCGAGAGGTGAGTACAAAATAAGATTCAAAATATGCATAGCATTTTAAATTAAATGAACTATCGATTAGAGTTTCGTTAGAGCTTTTACGGTTACAGAATTATAAATGAAAAAACTTACGGTATCAAACCGGCGCTTGGATCCCTTTCAAACTTAGTATATGACAAAAAATGTGTGCCTTTAAAATATGCCATGTGGACGTAAAGGCACGCTTATTTTTTAATGCCCAACTTTCGCATTATAAGTTTTGCCATTTAATGCCTAGTGGAAATCCAGCATAACTAAATAAATACGTTTCAATCTAGCTGGGGTGTATTTGGGCCGAAATAAATATACATCTTATACTTTTTATTTGGCACCTCAACCGCTTGTCGGTTTGCTAATTACCTCTCCCTAAAGTTGCAAAATTGTGCCGTATTCACACCAAGTGTAGACAGGTCCTACTGCACTTTGTTCTTCATATGTGTTTGGAAATCTTTGTCAATCCATGCGAGCCGGCTCATCCATACGAGTGACCCGTTCAATCCTGCGTAAAGGTAGAATCTTAAGCGTTTCACAGCCCAGCCGTTATACCGCCGCCTACGGTGGCTTTCTTGTTTTTAAGTCGCATTATTGCTAATTTCTGGGTTCTTCTTCTTCAGACCGCATTCGATTTCGCCATTCAAAAACGTTCACTCCATATCTCATGTATACTCTGTACGTCTGTAGCATTTAATCTCATGTCTCTACATCTTATCTTTCCTTTTGTCTTTTCTTCCTCTCGAAAAGACACATCTCTTATTTCTCCTTTGCTCTCGGTTTCCCTTCTCTAGTGCTGCGAGTAGAAAACCAAGAGATCTAATGCTACTACTTATGTTCATGTGTTGCTTACTCGAGCTAGGTGGAGAGTTGGCTACGAAAATTTTCAATTGTTTGTTGCACCTTTTCGACGTCAAAGTTTCCTCGACTTGCCTGACCCAAGTATTCATTGCACAGACGCATGCGAACCTTGGCTGGAATAGGGTAGTGATCCTGATGGGTGCCTATGCTCCTCGGATGGAATGCTCAGTGCACGTGACCTATTGCTCTTCTTCTTCTTCCTTATTGTTCGTTTCTCTTCTGTGGAAGTGCCAAGTCAAGCCAAGTCCTTCTCCATCTGGTATTTCCCTTGTAACTTTGCTGGTATTTTCGCCCAGCGCTGCCGACTACAACCGGATCTCACCAGTAATAAGCATCCGGATATTAACATATTAGCCGCTACCATCTCAAATTTGAAATCCAGCGGCCTAAACTTAAGGTTAACGAAGAGTTCCTTAGGGAACACTCTAGCTCCAAATTTGCCGTCTGTCCCAGAGACTTCTTCTTTGCCACTCATTAAGGTAAAGAATATTCCTCAGGTGTTAAGTACAAGTTCCCCAAGATCCCATACACCCCATAAGACCACAACCTATAGCTGTATAGCCTGATGTCGAAAGGGACTGGGACGCCTGGTCTGCAATCACATAATGGAAGGAGTAAAGCAAATCTCCTCATTAGAGGGATACTCTAATATAAAATTTCCTCAACCGTTTAAAATATTTTTTGTTGGAATGAGGTTTAGTAGGCCCACTCTCTTTTAACGAAGCGCTAATCGGCAGTTAATATTTAACTGGTTTACATTTTTCAATAAAAATTGGTTACTAATTTTTTAGCGGCAAAACTTAAAAGCTGACTAACCGGCAGTTAATATTTAACTGGAAGTTAAACTATTTTAGTTTGTTTCTTAAAGATTTTTTTTTACTGACTTTGCAGTGCCAAAGTTAAGAGTCTTAGGGCTGTTTTCTCAAGCAGGTTTAAAAATTTATCTGCCCCTTAAAAAGTAAATTTTTTTCTCTTAGCTATTTGATCAAACGGCCCTTAAATTAATCTGTTTATATTTCAATGAGTTCAGTATAATTCTGGGTAAAAATACTTACTTCCTAACTAATTTTTTTAATCTGCGAATGTCAAAGCAAATCCGATTGTCATGCCGGTTTTGAATGCGATGGCTGTCAATGTTGACAAAGTATGAATTGCATAAAATTCACAAGCATTAAAATACAAACTAATTTCCATACCCTACTCACTCCTCCTTACAGCTATAGGCCGCACACCTGGCTGCGAACATTGCCCACCAGGCACCAACTGTGATCCCACAACAGGCGCCTGCATCAAAGGTGAGTGGCACTCAAAAATTATTTTAGAAGTAATTTTGGCTGGATTTTTAATACATATTTTAACACAATCAAAACAATGATTAAAATTCTAAAATGCAAAATTAACCAAATTCACTAAGTAATTTTAACTGTACACAGTAAACTGTTAACATATTTATATAACTACCAACAAACCAACCAAAAAATGTAAAATAGTTGTACATATGACTTTTCCCATTTTTAGAATTTCTTTCGTTTTTTTTTGTTTAACAAATATTTTTTTGCAATTTTTTTTTTTAATTTTGAAAATTTTTTTTTCATTTATGTTTGGAAAATTTAAGGCCGTTTTCTCAAGTAGGTTTTAACATGCATCTGCCCTTTAAACACAAATTTTGTTCTAAACAATGTGTTTGCAGGCAAGATAAATTTTAAAACGTAATTGAGAAAACGGCACTTAGTGTTTTAATTATTTTTTAAGAACTACTTTCTAAAATTTTGTTTTATTTTTATGTTTAAAAAAATTGTTACAGAAAATTTTATTTTTTGAAATTTTTAGTTTCAAACTTTATTTATTAATAAAAAGTCCTAGATTAAATAATAAATACTTAAATTTTGTAGAAATATCAAAATTTTTTCCTTTTTCAAGATTGCGTTTACTTTTGATTTGAATACATTTTTTTTAGAAAAAAAAAATTTTTAGATTTTTTTAATTCTATAATTATTAATAATTTGATTTAACTTTTACCTTTAACAAAATATGTTCGGAAAATTAAATTATGTGCCAAAAAAATTTTAAAATTTTCGTTTTAAATTTTTTTCGTTTTTCGTTACTTTATGCACGTACAGTATTTTCATTTCAAATATTTTCCATCCACTTAATTTTGGTTTGCCCCTACACTTTTTCATGTATAAAAGCAACACAAAAATTTAAACACATTGTAAATAAATACGTACCGTAAAAACCAAACTACATCAACAAACCAAAAAAAAAAAATATAGCTAATGTTACAATAACAACCACTACCAATATAACAACCACTACCACCACCACTACATCTAACCCAATCACTGAAGTTACTACAATATTCACAAATAAAACTGGCACCTCCACGCCGAGCACAACCACCACCACTGCTAAAACCACTACCTCATACGAAACCACAATCGCCGGCGTCAGTGAAGAAGCTACCACAATTCCAACAACCCTATTCACTGAAGAGCCCAGCTCCAGCACAACCGAATCGGGCAAAGATTTAGACTTGAATACGACAAGTAAAACTGGACCACCTAAGGGTTATCGCGATGGTGAGAATAACATAACAGCCAGTACTGTACCAGAGCAGCCAACCACGCCCACATTCACCAGTGTCTCAACGTCATCATCCTCTTCGTCATCGTCCACGTCCACCTCCTCTTCTCCGGTTTCAACGAGCAGCAGCAGCTCGCATCGTGGTGAAGATAGTAAGGGTCCATTTGACGCGCGAACCACTACACCCAAAATGAAGACTACACGCATTGATACCTCAAATGAATTTGATTATAATCTAACCACTTTATTGACGACCACACAACGTACCACCTTCCCGGTGACTATGGTAACTGAACCAATGAAAGAGGTGGCGGAGCAAACCACAATGAGTGCTCGTGATTTGATAACAACCATGTTTCCGGTGATAACACCACCGGTTACCGAACAATCCAGCGAGTGTCCAACTATGCCGGGCACGACGACGCCATTCGTTTATGAGACAATCGAACCGCTAACGACAACAACGACAACACCAGCTGCGGCAACTAATGAACCTGGCACCGCCGCCGCCACTACTCCTCCTCCGACTACTAAAAGCGTCACAACCACTGAAAGTGGTGTCATCACCACAGTAGCCACTACCTTCAGTACAATTAGCAACACCTCTACCACTGATACCGCTATCACAATGATTAACACTTGTACAGATCATACTAACTGTGGTTCTAGTCAATTATGCGTGCTGGGAGTGTGTCGCAACAAGTGTCGCGAAGGGGACAAAAGCGATACGGAGTGTGTACAAGGTATAATGTTAATGTATAGTTCTTTTTTTTTGTTTTTTTTTTACGGGGGAAGCTTTTTTCTTATTTGCATGTTTCTTTTTTGAGTTTTTTTCGTGATGATCACAGTATGCTTGCGAGGTTTTTGAAATAAATGTGAAAATAAACTAGGAGCATGAAATGCATGTTTACATATTTAAAAATAAAATAGTAGCTGTCTTCACTTTATGATCGAGCTTTCGGTATATGAGCAGCTTTTTTAAATGATTAACTTTTCTTTTGAAAGGAGCTTTAACCACGTGATCGAACTTTCACCATATGATGCAGCTTTCACAATGTAATAGATCTTGAGTTATATGTGCGAGCTTTCTTTTAAAGACCTTCTATTATTTGCTCTAACAAGAGCTTTCACTATATTAATTCCAGGTGCGATCGAACTTTCACCATATGATGGAGCTTTCACTAAATGAAGAATCTTTCACGCGAATCCCAAACCCAAATAAAATATCACGTAGTATAAAAACTCAGCTTTTCAAAATTTAAACATACAAAAGCACTTAATCAAACTTTCAAGCCCTATTATAAGGAAGCACCAAATGAATCATTAGTGTGATTCACAAATCTAAAAAAACGATCATGGAACTCAAATAACTAAGCTATTTGCTCTCGTAGTTTAGTCATCTTATTCAAGATTTTTGACAACTCACCGTTTTAGAATAGCTTTTGCCCAATAGAGGAGTATTTTAAAATCTTTACTTTATAAAAAAATTGATACATGCTTTATAAATAGTACACACAATTTTTATTTTTATTTAAAATTTTTAAACGTCAATTCTTCAACGAGCAAACAAGGAGAAATGCAACTTTCCATTCATAAAAATCGTATAGGGAAAGTTAAGCTTTGGAAGTTCGTATGAAAATTTGTCTGTATTTTTTTTCAAAATCTTTCAGTCGTTTAAACCATTTCCACTTTAAAAAGTCTTTCCTTTTTTATAGGAGTCAAGCGGTACCTAAAATCGTTCCAAACGATTGAAAAGTAACATATAGAGACGAAATATAATGGTCATGATAAGAGTGAGCTTTTATTCTGCGCATGTCTATATAAAATTGTTAAAAAAAAAGCTTTATATTCTTATATTCAATTGTCTCTTTATCAATAAAGCTCAATAAAAAGTTAAATATTTGCTTAATGCTTTACTTCAATGATTAACAGCGCTTTGCCCGCTTCTAGAGATTTTTTTAAGCTCTCTACATATTTTCTTCTCTCTCTGTCCGTTACTGCTTTATATTATCTAGTTGTTCGAAGCTTAACACAGAGCTTTTTTTTTTGAAGAAGACCTGTGATAAATATTTTATATGTAATTTAAAGAATTCCATAATTTATGTTTAAAATTTGTATCGTTCGTATAGAAAATAGTTATGCTTCATAGACACTCTTGTAATTTTTCCAAAAAAAAAAAAATTGGTTTAAATTAAAGCGAGATTTAGATGGTGGAATCTTTTCATTTGTTTTAGTTTCCATTGGTGAACATCAGGGCTTTCATAAATTTCCGAAATACGGCTAATTCTGATGAAAAATATTACTAGCATAAGCTTTGAACAACGAAAAAAAAAACCAAGCGTAAGTTAGACGTGATAGCTTAAAGCTTAAAAGATGAAATCTTTTCAAACAAAAAGTCTATGTCAGTTCCAGTTACCTTAGCTGGTGAAAGCTTTGAGGCTGATAGAAGTTTTGAATTCGTTCGAATTTCGGTAAACGGTGAAAGCTTAATTGCAAAAAGAAGGTTTACATCATATTTGAACGCCTTCAAAGGGTGAAAGCTTTAGAGGGAATACAAAGTTTAAGTCCTTTCGAAATTTTCGTATTAAATTTAAATTTAGAAGCTTTTGTCAATTTCGAAATTTGGCAAGTCTGACAAGAAAGCTATATTTTTGTAAAGATAAAGCATGTGAAAGTAAAACAAAGATCGTCTTCAGCTGGTCATACCTTTTTTTCTTCATATATAATTAAACTGTAAATACTATTAGCTAGAATATGTTCCAAAGAGTTTTCTAAATGTAAATAGATCTTCTATCTTTTAAGTGGAAACTATATTTAAAATAAATACAACAGAATCTTTATGAAAGCTCTCCGTTTATATTTTTATTACTTGCTTAAAGAGTTCAGTGTAAATGATGTTAAAGGGGTAATATTTTATACCAGATTTCTAACATAAGTACTAGACTTTCAATACTATTTGTAAATATTTATTGTTTCCGCATTCTCCAGAAGCGAATGCAATTTTGCTAAAAAGCATTTTTGATACTCAAGATTCAAATTTTCCGATACTAAAACATACTGCTCGCCTTTTGGTTGCTCAATATTTGGTTACTCAAAAACAATTGTAAATAACAATCCCCCAAAACTTTCCAATACTGACTGTACATACGGGTATATTTTGTATTTTGGTTAACCCATTTTTTTTTAAATTTGCAACTCATATTCACTATAATCTAAAAAAAAAAAATTACTTACCTATTAACAAACCATTAATGCTCTCTAACATCTCTAACAAGTAGAATCACCTGGCTCACCAAAGAATCCGGAACCATGTCAATCGAACAATGATTGCATTGAGAATGAAGCATGTTACATGGGTCTATGTCATAATCCTTGCGATTTTGCGAATGTTTGCGCGCCCACCGCCAAGTGTGTGGCGAAAATGCATCGGCCGATATGTTCGTGTCCCAAGGGACATGAAGGTAATCCGGCCATCAAATGTACACCAGTGGATAGGACAAGTAAGCTGACTACGTTCATTATATCCCATATCTAATAAATATTTAATACTCGTACTTTACAAAAAAAAATAATAATCAATATTTCATTAAACAAAAACAAACTAATCAACAAATACTTAACTCATTTGTAGTTTGAATGATGTCTGCAAATATTTATAATTTTTGTTTATTTCTCGCCCCCCTCTCAGTTGAGTGCACGCACAATGCCGATTGCGATGTAACTGAGGCTTGCATTAATCGTCGCTGTCAACATCCATGCGATGCGCACAACCCTTGCGCACAAAATGCTGTCTGTATGAATGCAAATCATGCAGCCGACTGCAGCTGCGTGGATGGTTATCAAGGCAATGGTTTTGTCGGCTGTCAGCCAGGTAAGTGCGCACATGCGTTTGCGGAGAGGCGTTGTACAGGAGCGGTTCAATTGCAATGACAGGCGAGCGACCTGAAATAAAGAAAAAGGAAAATAAAGGAGGCGTGAGTACCGAAACTCATGAAATTTGATGTGTACACATTTGTGTAAGCTTGGCAAAGCATTAGGCGATTCAGTTACATACGTAAATAGGTTAGATAAGAAATTAAAAATTAATTTCATTTAATTTAATTTTTTTGTCGGGACCAGTACAAACCAACTTCGGGAATAGTTCAGGATCATTTCCTGACGAGTTTCGAACTACTCCTAAATGATCCCGATATAGGGCCGAACTAGGCCCAAAATTGTCCTGAAGTAGTTCTGTAAAATTAGTGAACTTGCCCCGAAAGGATCTCACACAAGTCTTGAAACTGTCCCGAAATGGGCCCTTACTAGACCCACAATGATCTCAATCTAGCCCCGAAATTTTCCTGAAACTAGTCCCGCAATTGTCCTCAAATAGTCCGGAACTAGTCACAAAATCGTCCTGAAATATCGTAAACAATCCCTAAATGGTCCTGAATTAGGCGGAAATAAATAAATAAATGAACCGGAACGTATCTCAGTCTTGAACTTGTGTCAAATAGTCAAGAACTAGTCCCGAAATGGTTCGGAAATAGTCTAGAACTAGTCGCCGAATAGTCCTGAAATATCTCCGAAATGGTTCAGAACTAGTCCCGAAAACGTCTTAAACTCGTCGCGAACTACGTAGTACCAAAATGGCCCTGAACTAGTCCAGAACTATGCATTTCACATCAAAAACGTTAGAATAAAAGTTCAATGCAGCAACCAAGTTATAAAAATCCGCTTTGTTGTTTTTTTCTACCAACGCCTGTCATTGCGTTGAAGTGTCCTCCCATATATCCTAAAAAAAACTTTAAGTTAATTTTTCTCTGCGCAAAACTGCACCTCATATTTAGCATTTTTTTTTCATTTTTTGCAATGCTAATTTCGTCACTATTTCTCTAATTTTCTATTTCAAAACACTGTAAAATATGCTCACGCCATTCACCCGTAAAAAAAAACAATATGTACCTTCCTGCAACACCACAAAAAAAAATTTAATATGAAATAAACTCACCACACCACCAACGTCCCAAAAAATATAAATACACTTTACAAAATCAATCAATGAAATAAAACATACACCTGCACAACAAACTCTGTATACGAAAAACAACTACGCTCCAACCGCGCCCGTTTCGTTGGCTCATCCGCCACTCACCAAACGCCACACCGCACTACAGCGCTCGATCATACAACTGTCTGTCAGTACAACGAGGATTGTCCACCTACGAAACTCTGCGATCGTCTCAACCGCCGCTGCATCAATCCCTGCTTCGAGGACTCGTGTGGTGAGAATGCTGAGTGTATACCCATCAACCATGGCATCGAGTGTCGTTGTCTGGCAGGCTTCGTCGGCAATGCTTACATCGAATGTTCGCAAGTGCAGGGTTGCCGCGCTGATCGTGAATGTGACGCCAGTCAAGCGTGCATTAACGGTGAATGCGCTTCACCCTGTCACTGTGGCGCTAATGCACTTTGCGATGTCGTCAATCATCGTGGCATCTGTAAGTGTCCACCAGGCTACGCTGGCAGACCAGAAGTCGCTTGCAATCCACCTATCAATCCTTGTGACCCCAATCCATGTGGCGTTAGTGCGCTATGCGAGCTTGATAATGGTAATCCAATTTGTTATTGCCCCAAGGGACTCACCGGCAATCCTTTCAAAAATTGCAGTAAGTATTTAGTGAGCGGCATTAGTCACTTAATCGGTAAAAAAAACAATTCCTTAAAACTCCTAACCATTTATCTTCCGTTCCCTTTCAGTACCCGAAGGCGATGAGTGTCGCCCGAACCCGTGCGGTCCCAACTCGGGTTGTCGCATGGTGGGTGGCTCACCCACCTGTTTCTGTCTACCCGAATATGAAGGTCAACCGCCGCTTGTGCCATGCGAAGTGCCGAAGAGCCCCTGCGATCCATCCCCTTGTGGGCCGAACACCCAATGCGCTGTACTTAGTAATGGCTTCTCGAAGTGTACCTGCCTACCCGGCTATGTGGAAAGTCCCAACACGATTCGTGGCTGCATCGAACCTGTCAATCCATGCGACCCGAGCCCTTGCGGCCTGGGCGCTGTTTGCGATTCTTCGCGCACACCGGTTTGCTTCTGTCCCGACGGCCAAATCGGCAATCCATTCAAGTCCTGCGAAAAACCGCCCGTTTCCGATGAATTATGTACACCTGGCCCATGCGGCCGCAATGCTGATTGCTACATTACTAGCAACCGCGAGGAATGCTACTGTCGTCCAGGTTATATTGGTGATCCAAATCAAGGTTGCCGCGAACCACCACGTAGCGCGTGTGAACCAAATCCTTGCGGTCCGAATGCTGAATGCATAGTTTCTGTTGATGGTCAAAGTGCTTGCATATGTCCGGATGGTTTATCCGGTGATCCCACCTCAACTAAGGGCTGTCATGGTTACGAATGTCAAGTGGATGCCGATTGCCCGCACGACAAGGCGTGCATGGGTTTCAAATGCTACGATCCCTGCCCAGGCGCTTGCGGACAAGGCTCCAATTGCCACGTGGAAGAGCACCATCCAGTTTGCTCATGCAATGCTGGACTAACTGGCAATCCGGGCATACGGTGCTATGCGCTGGACATACCAAAAACCCCTAGTCGCAATCCATGTTTGCCCAACCCTTGTGGCGTCAATAGTGACTGTAAACTGCTAAACAACCGTGCTGTATGCTCCTGCTTGCCCGGCTATTTGGGGGATCCACAGAGTGGCTGCCGCGCCGAATGTGATATTAACTCTGACTGCGGCACGGCGCAAGCCTGTATCAACCATAAGTGTATTGATCCATGTGCTGGCACAGTTTGCGGCATTAATGCTATTTGTAGAGTACAACAACATACGCCCATCTGCTCATGTCTCGACGGCTTTACCGGTGACGCTTTCCGTCAATGTATACCTGTTGGCGTGCTTAAGAATATAACACGCGACCCATGCGTCCCTTCACCTTGTGGACCACAAGATGTTTGCTCGATATACGGTGACGGTGTAGCGCTTTGCGACCCTTGCTTTGGGCCTGATGCACAACAGAACCCACGCTGCCGACCTGAGTGTTTATCAAACTCCGACTGTCCCTTCGATCGCGCCTGTTTAGGCCAACGCTGCTTGGATCCATGCCCTGGTTCATGTGGACACAATGCTGTCTGCAATGTGTACGAACACAATCCCATCTGTAGCTGCCCGCCTGGCTTGTACGGTAATCCCTACGAGCACTGCTCACCGCCTTCGCCGTTTGTACCAGCACCATCACCTAGCTGCGAGAAATTACAATGTGGCGCCAATGCGGAATGTAAGAAACAAAATGGCGCTTTGACTTGCGTCTGTCGCACAGGTTATTTCGGCGATCCTTTCATCGGCTGCCGACCGGAATGCGTACTCAACTCAGACTGTCCAGCTGATAAATCTTGCGTCAATTCTAAATGCGTGGATTCATGCGTCGGCGTTTGTGGCATCAATGCCATGTGCCGTATTGTTAATCATGCACCTGTCTGCATCTGCGTAGATGGTTATACTGGCGACGCAGCTGTCCAATGTAATCCATACTACTTACCACCTAGGAAACCAGCGCGCAACCCTTGTGAACCATCGCCTTGCGGCCCCAACTCACGTTGCATGATTTCGCCGGATGGCTATGCGGCCTGTTCATGCCTGCCGAACTTCAAAGGCTCACCGCCAGTCTGTGAGCCAGAATGCGTTGTCAGTTCGGAGTGTCCGCTGAACAAAGCTTGCATCAATCAGCGCTGCGCAGATCCATGTCCGGGTACATGTGGCGTAGAAGCACGATGCGAAGTCCTTAACCACAATCCCATCTGCTCTTGCGAAGCCGGTTTTGAAGGTGATCCGTTCGTGTCGTGCGGCCGCATACCAGAGGAAAGAACTGATCGCAATCCTTGTGTGCCTTCGCCATGCGGACCCAATTCAATATGTCAAATTAAACAAGATCGGCCAGTTTGCTCATGCGTTGCCAATTATATTGGCAGCCCGCCATATTGTCGCCCGGAGTGCACTTTGAACACCGAATGCCCAGCGGATAAGGCTTGCTTACAAGAGAAATGTCAAAATCCATGCGCTAATACATGCGGACACAACGCGCGTTGCACAGTGATTGCGCATGCGGCGCATTGTAGCTGTGACCAGGGTTACGAAGGGGACGCCTTCGTTGGCTGCTCGAAAATTGATGAGAGTAAGTGGAGTAATCAATGAACGATGTGTGAGGGGCTTAAAATTGTAAGCTTAAAATTTTTTTTTTTACACTTTATAGAGCCAAAAGACCGCATCGATCCTTGCTATCCTAGTCCTTGTGGCGAGAACGCAATTTGTAGCGAACGTAATGGCGAAGCACGCTGTAGTTGTATTGAACCTTACATTGGCGATCCCTACACCACTGGCTGTCGACCCGAGTGCGTTTACAATGCTGAGTGTCCTTCGGCGCTTGCCTGCATTAAGCAGCATTGTCGCGATCCATGCGTGGGCACTTGTGGCTCGAACACTGAATGTGCGGTAGTCAATCATGTGCCTACATGCAGCTGCGCGCGTGGCTATGAAGGCGATCCATTCAATGGCTGCAAGCGAAAGAGTCGTAAGTGATTGATTTTATTCTGAATGCTCTCTTTTTCTAAACATCTCTCTTTCATTTTCATTCAACAGCAACCCTACCGCTCAGCCCTTGCGAACCCACACCTTGCGGTGCTAACAGCATTTGTCGCGTGGTGGACGATCGTCCAACCTGCTCCTGCCAAGTAGGCTACTTCGGCGCGCCACCCAACTGTCGACCCGAATGTGTTGTTAGCTCGGCATGTGCACAGCAATTGGCTTGTATCAATCAGAAATGCACAGATCCTTGTGTCGGTACCTGCGGCTTCAATTCCAAATGCCAAGTGGTTAATCACAATCCTATCTGCTCGTGTCCAGCCGATTACATGGGTGATCCGTTTGAGCAATGTGTGCCAAAACGTAAGTATAGAAACAGAAAGAAGCATATACGAGAAATTCTTAATATTCTTCCTTACAGCTCGCGAACCACCACCGAAAATAAATCCTTGCCTGCCCAGTCCTTGTGGCCCCAACGCAGAATGTCGTGACGTTGATAATCGCGCTGCTTGTAGTTGCGCGCCAGGTATGTTCGGTGCGCCGCCCAACTGTCGTCCCGAATGTGTTATCCATCAGGATTGTCCATCGAATCGTGCCTGTATACGCCAACGCTGCGAAGA